CTCGAACCACATACGGCACCACCACACACACCACCATCTTCAGCGCCATCACCATAATCGTCACCTGCATGAAGATTGAGCGGCGCTTGAAGAAATCAGAGGGGCGGACGTTTCTCTCCGGCGACGACGACACCGGCAGCTCACTGATGGCAGCAGTGGTGGTGGTGGTGGTGGCGGTGATGGCAGTGGTGGTGGTCATTGGTCGTGGTGGTGAGGGTTTGAGGAGGTGGTGGTGGTGATGAGCATACGAGCACGTGAGAAGGTGTGCTGTGAATCCGATGCTCAATCATTCAAGAACACTCATGGCCAAGCGTGTCCTTTGCAACCGCACTACTCATTGCCGTCATATAGCGACCCACATCACCGCCGCAACCATCACAGCCACCTCAATCAAATCCTCCCTCCTCTAATTCCAATCCTACAGCACCTGACTGGGCGCGGGCGCGGTGTGCGCTGCACAGATTTTGTCCTGCGAAGCACAGGTGTCTCAACCGGCGACTGCACGTGGTGGTGGTGGTGGTGGTGGTGGTGGTGGTGGTGGTGGTGGTGGTGGTGGTGGTGGTGACGATGGTGGAGATGGGTGGCGATGATGATGATTGCGTCAAGAGTTGCACGACATGAGATGGCAGCCTCAATTGATGTGTATCCATGTCCCACTTGCATTCATTGAACATACACACACATATGCATATACCTGCACGGACATACACGAGCACCAACTCACTCACTCACTCACTCACTCACTCACACACTCACACACACACACACACACACACACTCTCTCTCTCTCTCGCCATTACCTCTGATGGCGCAGTCGAGGACGAAGAGGAGGCCGTCTTGGCGGCTGGTGCGGTGGCGGTGGTGTCTGCGTTTGCTTCGGCAGCCGCGTGCAGCTGTATGTTGCACAACAGCACAGCAACCACAAGATAAAAAAGGGGGCATTGGCGGTGAGCAAGGGCGCGCAAGCGAATAGGCGTGCGCGCGCACAAACTCACTAACACACGTACACACTCTCACATTCGCACGGCGGAGAACAACAGTCCCAATCAAATTCAAACTCACCCACGTTCACACACTGACACACTCACGCACTCCCCCACCCCCACACACTCACCCACGTGCACATGCACAACCAACAAGACACGACACACAACGCTGCACCTTTGCGTCGACGGTGGTGAGTTTGATGCGCAGATCTTTCAGTTCCCGCTCGAGCTCGTCTCGCTTCTCATCGTGCTGTGCCTTTTGTGCTGTCGCGTGCTCCCTTGCGCTGTCAGCCTCAGCCTGGGCTTTGGCCAGCTGGCCCTCTGCTTCCTGCAACCGGCGCCGGTCAGAAGCAGCAGCAGCCCGCTCAGCTGCCACCTCCTTCTCCAGTCGCTCCACATCCGCCAACGCGCGCTCCTTCGCATCCGTCTCTGCCTGCAAGCACGCTTTCAGCTCTTCAATCTGCGCAGCGTACTTCTCTCGCTCCACCTTTGCTGCATCCTCGGCGTCGTCTCCCCTGTGCGCCTTCGTCTTCGCCTTTGCACCGGCCTTGGATGGCGTGCCTACCGCACCCTTATCCAGCCGCCGCTGTAGTCGCTTCACCTCCGCTTGCGCCTCAACACGCCCCTTCTTCGCCGACAGTGCCATCTTCTTGTACTTTGCAACCTCCAGCTTCGCCTCTGTCAGCTCAAGCTCCAACTTCTGCAGCTTTCGCGTTGTCTTTGGCGACCGCTTGCCGCCACCAGGCGTCCCCTTCGACGCTGATGACGCCGATGCTGTAGGCTTTGTTGCTGCTGACTTGCTCCCCTTTGCAGATGGCGTGCGCGGTGTCGCTGCTGTTTCTGGCTCTGTTGGCGATGTGGCCCGCGCGTCCAATTCCTGCTTCAAGCGCGCCACTTCATCCTGCAGCGCTGCGCTTGCTGCCTTTGCTGCCTCTGCCTCTTGTTGCGCCGCCGCCAGCTGCGATTGCACTGATTCCAGCTCCTCGGCAGGTACTTTCCCGGCGTCGTCATCACCGCGCCGCTGTTGTTGCTGCTGCCAGTCCTGTTGTTTGGCGGTGAGGTCTGCCAACTGCTGCTTGAGGGAGGTGAGCTCTGTATTTGCATCGTTGAGTGTTTTCTGAAGGCGCGTTGAGTCTGCGCGGGCATCTTCCTCCCGCTGCTGCGCCGCCGCTATCTCCAGCTGCAGGCGCTCCAGCTCCTCGTTGTGCCTGTCTTCTTCGGCATCCTCCATCATGTCTGGCATGACCACGTCGAAGAAGGGGTTTGATGGAAGCTTGCGCATGCCCTTGGTCCCCTGCTGCGACCCAGGCCCGGGGCTGACGGCGCTGCTGCCGTTCTTTGGCAGTGAGGATGTCGAGGAGGAGGTTGAATCTGGGAAAAACGGCGACGGCTGGGACTGCATCCGGATACGACAAGTGCGTGTTACGCGAGAAGACAAGAAGGCAGTCAGTGTGTGAGACGCCAACAATCGCAGCTACAAAGTTGGAGAGTGAGGGAATGTGACCAGGCATGTGTGCGCATGTGGTGTGTGTGCGTGTGTGTATGTGTGTGTGTGTGTGCATGTGCGTGTGTGTACGTGGGTGACCACGCAAGTGACAACACTGCAGCACTGTAACACTGCAGCACTTGGTTGGAAGCTGAGCAGTTCCAACGCGTGGGCAGCCACAAACTCAAATACAAACAAACGGAGCGGGGTGTACACCAGGCCGCACAAAATGTGCAGCTTTTCCACCGACCCACGCCCCTCAACCGCCCAGCCTGGCTGTGTTGGCACATGAACACAATGGTAACGTGACAACAACCACCTCTGCAAAGTACCATTGTCATGTAACACAGTCACAAGCGACAACTCAACAGCGACATCCAAAATATATGTGGTATGTGGTCGGTGTCAAGCACCATGCATGCTGTTCGGAATGTTGCTGTGGTGATGAAATGAAAATACTGCGCGTCTTCACAGCGTCACCCACCTCCAAGGTCGCCGAGAGCGGGGAGGACGTGTTGTCGTCATCCGCATCATCCTGGAACGGGTTGGCCGAGCGACGGCGACCACCACCTCCCCCACCACGACCACCATCACCAGGCAGCGTCGAAGTCATTGTTGTGTTGTCTGCTGTCTGCTGTTGTCTGTCTGTGTGTTGTTGGTGCTGGAAAATCTCTGGTGCTTTCATCGTGTCGTGAACGGCCTGTTGTGTGTGCATTTGCGACCTGCGTGCATTTCTGTCCTCCCACAACCGAACACCCAACGACGACACACCCGACGAAACACCCGACCAACCAACCGGCAGCATCGCCGCCGCTGGGAATCGCCGGCCCGCGTGGCGTTCTTGATCCTGCTCACCCCAAGGATCAGTCGCCTTGTTCTTTAGGGGGTTCCCGTTCCTTTTGGGATGGCGCTGAGGGATGTGGCGCACTTGGAGGTGCAGGATGCATTCACGGGGGAATACATTCCGTTGGAGGACATCTGGCAGGACAAGCCGGTGGTGCTGGGTTTCTTTCGCCGATTCGGCTGCAAGCTGTGCCGCTACGCGGCGGTTCAACTCAGCTCGCTGCAGGCGTTCCTTGATGCGGCGGGCGTTCGCCTCGTCGCCGTTGGATTCGAGGCCGTGGGCTTGCAAGCATTTGTCAACGGGCAATTCTTCTCCGGCGAGATCTACCTCGACCTCTCCCGGGCGTGCTACCGCGTGAGTTGTGTACGCATGCATACACGTGTTCCCTTGCATGATTGCGTTTGCGCCTGCGCCTGTGTGTGTGTGTGTGTGTGTGTGTGTGTGTGTGTGTGTGTGTGTGTGTGCTTTTGTATGTGTGTGTGTGTTTTTGTTTGTGTGTGTATGTTTTTGTATGTGTGTGTGCTTGCGTATGTGCACGTGTGCCTCGTGACCTGTCTACCTGTCTGCTTGTCTACCTGTCACGCATATGTATGACCCCTGACACCATCTCCTGCACGATTCCGTGCAAGATTTCTTGCGTGACTCCATGCACGACCGTGTTGGCGCAATCACTTGATGGTGATCTCGCACGCTCTCACACACGCACTCACTCACTCACTCACTCACTCGCTTGCTCGCAACCGGCTTGCATGTTGATTGTTGATTCTGAACACCGTGACCTGCAGGGCTTGAAGCTGGAGAACTTGGGATGGGTAGGTGTGCAATGTTCGCGCCTGTTAGTAGGATCACGCAGGAGTGCCATGTTGTGTGGAGAAAATGCCCAACGTCACGTCCCGCTCCCACGATCACACGTCACACACACACACACACACACACACACACACACACACACACACACACACACTCTCTCTCTCTCTCTCTCTCTCTCTCTCTCTCTCTCTCTCTCTCTCTCTCTCTCTCTCTCTCTCTCTCTCTCTCTCTCTCTCTCTCTCTCTCTCTCTCTCTCTCTCTCTCACTCATACACACTCATACACACACCCACTCATACACACACGCCCTGCGTCTCTCCCTGTCCACCATGTTGTTGGTCTTTTGGTGCCAGATTCGTGGGACATTTATGCTGCTGACAGACCAGCGTGTAGCCTCCACCATCAAGCAGGCAAAGGTGCGCATGGCCATGCAGCCACGTGCATGCACCCCACCGCAGATGCATCGGGGTGGCTGCCCTCACCCTTCTGCGCAACGACAAGCACTCACCACATCACGAACACGCCCGCCGTTGACAGGACATATCGTTTGATTTCCGCGGGGATGGTATGCAACTGGGCGCAACATATGTGGTTGGCCCCGGTGGCACCGTGTTTATGGAGCATCGCCAGAAGCATTTTGGCGACAACCCGGACCTTGACGAGGTGCGCACACCCCGCATACGCACGTGCAGAGGTGGCTGGTTGTGCTGTATTCAAAAGACACATGCGTCTACGATGCTACTTTGCACATGCACGCCCCGTGCGCATCAGCACAAACACTCACTCACGCTTGCATGTGCACACACACACACACGCCTCTGCCGTGCATCATTGCAGATTCGGCGAGCCGTGGCTGCAGCCGTCAACAAGTCCGTGGACTTTATTGAACGACAAATGGCTGTGCAACAACGCACGCACCCAGGCACGCCGCTAGCACAACAACAACAACAACAACAACAACAACAACAACAACAACAACAACAACAACAACACCACCATCAGAACGTCGGATCGTCACAAGGTGGCGTGTCTGCAGTTGCAACCCAAGCGGCTCCACACCGCAGCCGCATGCCAAGGAGTATCAGTCAACACATTCAACACCAGCATCAGCGAAGGACCAGCAACGCTAGTTCCTTCAGCGACCACAGCAGTGCGACCAGCAGCCAGCATGATGCTGTGCTGTGCACGCTATCCCCTGCTTGCTCCACATCCCACCTTCCGCCCCCACGCCACGCGTCTTCAACACCGGCATCGCCATCGACATCACCCGTCCCCTCTGCTTCGCACACCTTCCGTCCGCCTGCGTTTGCGGGAGTGTCTCGCATCAGCGGCGCAATGTGGCCGCATGTGCATTCGTGGAACGGAGGTGTGTGCCTGCGCCGAAGCACCAGCAGCGCGCACACGACCAGCGTGGGCACATGTGCGAATGGTCAGAGGAGCCACGGGGGTGATGATTGCCACATGTGTGGCTGCGACTGTGACTGCGACTGCGATTGTGATGGCCACGGCAACAACAGGAGGGCACACAACCCACACGGCACACACGGCACAGGCAGCGTGGGCAGCGTGGGCAGCGTGGGCGAGCAACGCATCAACAACAGTGGCAACACCGGGCGCCGTGGTGGCGGTGACACTGACGAGAGTGATGAAGAGGATGTCGACGATGTGATTGATGTCGACACAGTCATGGCAGCCACGATACGCGAGGAGGAACAACATGATGGTAATGATGATGATGATGATGATGATGATGATGATGATGATGAGGAGGAGGAGGAGGAGGAGGAGGAGGAGGAAATTCTTGGTTGATGGAACTCCATATTCACAGCCATTTTACTTGACCGTATTTTTTTCCATCTGCAGCACGCTTTGTAGGAGGGTTATGATGATCATTTTGTGTGCACGTACGTACGTGTGTGATATGTGTGTGCGTGCAGGCCAGCATACGAGCGTGTGTGCGTTTTCCTTTCTTCGTTTGCTCGCGCACATGCCAAGCTTGTCTCTGTTGCCATTGCCACAGTCACTGTTACCTGTCCGCTGCTATACGAGCGTTTGTATTTGCAATGCACATGACACACAAAGCGACCGATTAAACAAGAGCGTAATTGAACAGATTGTCTGGTTGTGCTACTGAGGCGTGTGTCACGTAACGATGCAAGAGCAAAACCACCAGCACCACCGCTGTTGCTGCTGCTGCTACAGCAGTGTGATGACAGCCGAGATTGTGTAGTCGTAGTCGTTGAGAAGCGCAGAGCAAAACAAGTGCGCCGACACATTCACAAAACCACTACTATCAAAAGAAAATGAAAACAAAAGAGAAAAACACGCTTTTTCGACAACAACAACAGCAACAACAACTTCAACAACAACTTAAACAACTTAAGCAACAACAACCAACAACCAACAACAGCAACAACAACAACAGCAACAACAACAACAACAACTTAAACAACAACAACCAACAACCAACAACAGCAACAACAACAACCAACAGCAACAACAACAACCAACAGCAACAACAACTTAAACAACAACCAACAACCAACAACAACCAACAGCAACAACTTAAACAACAACTTAAACAACAACGACGACGACGACGACAACAACAACAACAACATGACATTCCTACTATGATCTCGACATGTGTCCGAGCCGCCAGCACTTTGCACGCTCGTGGAACTGCTGCGAATACATGGGGTGCACAATCATGTGCTCACCAGCAATCTGCTCAAGGGTCCGGTGTTGCGTGTGTTGTGCGGATGCAAGAAGGGTGCAGGGCGAGGCGCTTGTGAGGGCAATGATGCGGGGGCCACCACGCATGGTATGCAACAGCAATGCAAGCACGCACAACAAGCGATACCCTCACGCCCACCTCACCTCGACCGTGTGTGCAGCTGTGAGCCAGTCCAAGATATCGAACGGGGACGATTTCTTCGCCCACTGCTTCGTCTGAGAGTCAGTAGAAGAACAGCCATCAGCGCAGAGTGAGACAATCAACGCAGCAGCGGTGTGAAGCGATGTAGCGCACCCAACAACAGACAACGCATGCGTGGGCAAGCATGCATGCACGCGTAGCATTCATGATGGCAGACACACACTAATCATGTCAGATCACGCCACGTCACCACCGCCGGCATCACCTTGATGTCACGGCAGCGTTGGCAGCGGTGATGGGCTGCACGGCCACGGATTGGCGGCTCCGCGCAGTCGCGATGAAACTGCTTCTCGCACCTGGCGTGGGTTGTGACACAGAGGTGAGATAAGCAACAGGGAAGGCTGAAAGGCGGTGTAGGGAGTCGGGAGAAACAACTTCTTGAACAGTATCACGCGCTCGCGTTGACTCGCATATCTTACGGGCTCACTCGCACACAA